AAATGAAATTTGCTGTCCAAATCATGCTCTTTTAGTTATATAAATGGCTCAAACATGACAGCACAAGATAGTATCTAATTCTCCAAGGTCTCTTTCACACTTTTGCACTCAGATGGCATCTCTTTGTTTACAAAAGAATATTTTTTGAAACAAATCAAATATGTTGAGCTCACATGATTATATGGTGGTTCAATGCTTTCTTGGTCTGTGGTTTTAGTTGTATTACTGTGAAATATCAGTTTAGTGATGGTATTTTGTTTTTATAATAAAGTTGTATATTATTTATATTTTCATTATATTTTTCAGAGTGTATAGTACATATAGTTAGTTATTTCATATTTTTAACTATACAATGGCTGGTCAAGCTCTAGGTCAGACGACTCTGACATGTTGGAATATTTAAACACAACTGAGAGTGATAGTGGCTTTATTCCAGAAAGTGACACTGATACAAGTGAAGAAGATGCCCCACAGGCCACACATACCCAGCTGCTCACCCTGTGTCTAAAAGTGAAGAGGATGTCACGGATGATGAAGACTAGATGGTGACGGAATCCAACAGATATGTGCAGAAAGTGATTACCAATAAAGTAGTTAATGTTCCAACTCTGCTAAAGAAAGAACTGGACCAGAATTATCATGCACAAGATGAAAGAATTCCTGGCCTGTATTCTGAATATGGGCATAGCATCATACTACCCATTCTCTCAAGACACCTGATGGTTTGGGAAAATGTTTACCAAGCATGGCTTTTCTCACTTGCTGCCCTTCTTCCACCTCATCAATAACAGAGGATTACTTGGCCCTGGAGAACCAGACTATGATCCCTATGCAAGGTACAAACCCCTTGTGGCCCATGCAAACAGGGTGTTCAGTCAAGAGGAAGTACGGGGAAGACATGGTGGCAATACACAAATAAAATAAAAAATCATCACTTCCTACAACAAGTTTATGAGCAGCACCGACTCTTCAGACATGATGCTGTACATTTATTTGGATGAAAGGCAAAAAGTATGTTACTGGATAAAGGTAGCTGGTGATCAATAGCACCATTCCCTACAGTGAGAACTACAGGGGCCCTGGCAAACTGAAATCCAGGGACAACTAAAATGTGTCAGTAATTGAGAGCTTGGGGGAGGAGTGGCTGCAGCTGAAAGACAATGCTGGAGCAGATGATCCTCAGAGACCACAAGGACTCAGAAAACTCCCAGAAAAGAAAGCGTCCCAATGCACTGTCTGTAGCATAAAGGAGAGGATAGCCAGAACAGTATGCACCATATGAAACAAGGGGCTGCATGGAGAATGCTTTCCTAAACACACGTGCTAACTGCAAAAGGTATGTATGAACTGTCTTAACACAATGTGATGTAGTTATGGACCAGTGAGCTCTTCATGCATAAAACTCATATATCAAAATTTACAGAAACGTATTCTTTCTTACAGGATCGGTGACTAGAAAAATAAACTAAAGAGATAATTTTATTTGTTGCCTAAATTATGTAAGTTTAAATTTCTAGTTAATTCTTTAAGTTTTATTTTTTTAAATTATTTACAGTGTTAGAACTTGAGGTCATTTTTTGTTCAGATCTGCTGTTTATAGTGAATAAGTGTGACGTTTTTCATATATCTTTGACCTAATTGTACATTTCATGAATTTTTGGGGCGAGGCTTGTAAATTGGGCCAAATTCGCCTGAGTGTTTTAGGCGAAGTACTTGGAAAATTGGTTGGGTGGGAAAGGATTAATCTAATATTCACGCTCGTGAGAACCTCAAATCACATACGAACTGAATCCATGTTTGGTCTTCAATAGTTTATTCTGGCCCTTCGATCGCCACTTTTGCATAAAGGAACTTTGTGCCAATGATCATAAATATTACAAAAATTGCATCATCTGTTGCAGTTTAAAATTGTTTATAGGCTCATTTACATTTCTCAAAGTGCACTGGAGCACCGCTATATTCTAAACTAATACCACCTACATACAACATAACACATCATATACAAATCCACGTGGCTTTCCAAAATTCACTTCCTGGGATTGATTTAACCCATTTTAAAAACACAGGACCTATACACTATAAGCAGTATGAATCAATGAACACCGTTACATTGCAAATGAGCACATGAATTGTCAGTTCTAATAATATATATATATATATTACTTTTTCTATTATAGCAACTTTCTGCTAAACTCCTAACCGCATTCTCGCATATGCGTACCGCCAATAACTTAACTCGAGCTCGGCACCGCTCGGCACTGTACAACGTTGTCAAAACCCTGGGTGCCGGGGTAGTGATCCGTGGTCACCAAAGAAACAGGCAACACCAACGAAACCGCAATTTCCAAGAAATGTCGCTGGTTTCAAGCAGGTAACGCGTCAGCTCCGGGGTGGGGGGTCCAGCTAGCGCGACACGTCACAATATTGTTTACTCTAGGCGTATCCTAGTAACGAATCACTAGCTTATATAGTCACGTCTTCACTCTTCGCGCTCCATATTGCGAATTTATGTCGAAGTGAACAGACGTTATTCTCGTTGCTCCGATACTCGCCGCAGATTGTATTCTTGGCTTACAAGACAGAAATCAGTTTATTTTCAAGCTAAGAGAAGTAATTTAATTTTTTAGCAATGGGCGGTTACTTATCACAGAGAAATGTCCTAGGAGATCCAGGAAGTGAGCAGGTAGGTAGGAAACTGAAAAGAAGAACAGCAACTTGAATGGCAGTTCGATAACGGTGGGCAAATTGAGAGGGTGGCAGGTTTAAGAAGCTCGTCACTGCTATATATGATAATATAGTGGCATATGTAAATACTAATATACTGTAACGTGTTTAGTCACGTTTAGCCATTTTAACTTACAAATTAAATTAACAATTTAATTTCTGTTCAATACATTTAACAAAATTTAAGTCTGCCTTTGAGCAGCGTAATGCAACATGGAGGTACACGCTTGTACACGTTTCGTTATCATGGGCTTTACCCATTACAAATAGAGCAGCTAAGTAATTTCTCAGGATACCTACCCTGATAGGTCCGAAAACAGGGAACTTACAAAGAGGAGGTGTGGTCCATGCACATTCACAAGGGAGAATCCTGTTTTATTAACTTTATGTAACATCCAGCAAAGTGTCTGCCCCTATGGCACTACTGTATATTTGGTAGGTTAATTCATAACCTCTGAAGATGAGATAATGCCAGTCTTTGTAGGCCGCTGATGTATGTTGTGAAATTATTTACAGGGCGAATATTCACAGCGCATCACAGGAACTGTGCTTCAAAATATGGAATTGGATTCAAGGTACTCAGGCGCTTTCTCTTCAGGGGAAGAGGACAAGGTTGATGAAGGTGGGACTGACGTGAACAATACCATAAAATCTGGAATGGCTCAAGACAGAGGATCGCCGCTTCTTTGCACAGGAAGATGCATGACAGGCGAAATAGAGACCCTAAAGTGTGAGAGGGACGCCCAACAACGAGAAATAGTTGAACTCCGAGATCAGTGTAGGGATGCTTGGGCACTGAAATCTCATGCCGATAAAGTCACAGAAGAGAGGGACGCCATCATAGTACAAGCAGAACTCAATGCCCAGATTGCACGGAATTTGGAGAAGGAGAGGGACGCTCTGAGGCGTGAAACAGAGGAGTTCAGGGCCAAATGTGAACACATTGGTGAACTGAAAGAGCAATTGCACTTTTTAATGCAAAATTGCCGCGAGATCACACAAGAAAGAGACGCTTTGGTATCGAAAGCCCAAAGTATGGAAGCGAATGGAAATGTTTTAAAGAGGGAGAGAAATGCTCTAAAACTCGAGACAAGAAAGCTCCGAGCCCAGGGTGAGAAAGCTGCACTTTTGGAAGAAGAATTAAAGGATGTAAAAGTGCAGCTTGCCTTTATCGCGAAGGAGAGAGAGACTTTCCAACATAGATACCGACTTTCAGAAAAGGAGTGTAAGTCCATGAAAAAGTTTATAGAGGGCCTGAAAGTTGAAACAGAAGAACTCCGTACAAAGAACGAGAACAATGCTCTTCTGGAAAAGCAATTAACCGCTGCAAGACGCCAGTGCGATGATCTGAGGAAAGAGAGAAACGCTTTCATTTTAAAGGCCCAGAAATTAACCGAGACTAAAGGGACCCTACAGATCAAGATGACTGATCTCAAAGTCGAAGTCGAAGACCTTCGATCGAAAATTAACGATGCAAACTTACAGGAAAATGAATTAAACGCCGTAAGACTGCGTTACGAAGACATGAAAAGAGACAGAGACTTCTACAAATTAGAAGCCAGACGGGCAGCAGAGAATAGGGTCGCCCAGAACAAAGTCATAGACGCCCTAAAATTGAAAATAGAGGATCTCCACGTCCAGTGCAAAAAGAGTTCGCTACTGGAGAAGCAATTAAGCGCCGCAGACCAGCAGTGGGACAATATGAGAAAAGAGAGAAACGCTTTCATACTGAAGGCCCAAAAAGCAGAAAGCAGTAGAGCGAACATACAGATGGAGAGGGATGCTCTCAGACTTGAAGTAAAAAATCTTACATCGAAGATTAACGATGTAGATGTACGAGTACACGCACATGAAAACGTTACTGAACGTTACAAGTGAAGACTGCGACAACATCGTAAAAAGAGAGATTTTTCAATTCTCGAAGTCCACCAGATGGGAATAGATATAGAGCCCACAGAGGACTCCGACGAAACTGCTCTACTGGAAGAGCAATTAAAAGTTCTAAGAGAAGACTACGACAAAATCGAGAAAAGGTTTCTTCAATTCTCGAAGTCCAACAGATGGGAAGGGACATAGAGCCCACAGAGGACTTCGACGAATCTGCTCTACTGGAAGAGCAATTGGACGTTTTAAGAGAAGTCTACGACAACATATCACAAAAGAGATTCTTCAATTCTTCAAGTCCAACATAAAAATTTGGGTACTCTTTTTAATACTGGAGTCCAAAGTACGGCAGCGGATACAGAGGCCGTAGAAGGAATAAAGTCGCCCTGGAGATTATCATTATTTTTAACATTTTATATGGATTATATAAGTCATTTAATTTCAATTGTTTATTTTTATGGCTACTTATGCATTGTAATGCTTTTTCTAAAATAGTACATCCTCTGATTGTATATGACTGAAACATGTCAAGGTTTTCTTAAAATGTAATAGATATAATGAAATAAAATTCAGTTACTTGAGTGCACTGCATTCAATTGCTCCTCGGCAGACCAGATTATGACGGAGACTGCGCCTCTAGTCATCATGCCAGTAGTCTCCTTGACGACCGCGATGCCAATAATAGACACATCGACATTGGAGATATGCATGACGAGACTGGGATACAGCATAAGGCCATTATCTCAGTCTTCGCGAGAATGATATCATCAGACTGAGGTTCCTGGTAGAGAAGTCGCTTTGCGTACCTCCTTGTAATGCAGTTGGTACGTACTGGATACACAACTGTAACAACCAGGGACCGGATTTTGATGACATGTCGTCTTTTTATCTCTGTATTCTATGCGATGCTCTTAAATGTATAAATCTCGGACATGAGCTGCTGGTTGCAGAAATGTAAATTTTATAGATAATTTTTTTGACATTTTTAGGTTTAAAATCTTTTTTTTCATTTTTGGGGTAATTGCTTGGTAAATTTTTGGACTTTTAAGGGTATTTCTTGTAATTTTTTGCCATTTTAGGGAATTTTTCTTCATATGTTTTCTGAAATGTGAATAACATGGAAACGAAGTGTTCTTTCTCTTCTCTTTAGGTCATTTTTCTGGATTTTTTCGGTCATTTTATAGGTCATTTTTTTAATATTTTCAGGTCATCAAAATCCGGGCCATGCATATTACATTTTTGGGTCATATTTTAGGTCTTTATTCGGTCATTTTTAAATATTTTCAGGTCATCAAAATCCGTGCCCTGCTAACAACATATGAAAGAAGGCCTTAAAAGTTTAAGTTCCTTACTTTTACTGATGGTCCGCGAGTCATTTAGAATCCCTTAGTTTACAATTACAGCTTCCACGTAAAGCAATTTGTCACTGTGTATCTCAGATTTAGGTTTATTGCGGTGAAATCTTGCTGAATTGTTTGTTATAGGTACCTATTAAATATAGTATTTATGTGTTAGGTTGTTCACATAACTGTTATAAACTAATACTAACATTTCTAATGCTTCCATTGCTCCTTCCAGTTCCACTTATGTTACTTATAAATAATAATCATAATTCAAGTAGAAATAATCACAATAAGAGCTATAAGTCTACTAAATGCACGTCAATGTCGAATTGTCTTATGCTAAAAATAATTGCTTCACATTACTAAAAGTTTAAGCTTTATTGTTACTTTAGAACACATAATTATTTGCATAACTGGTATTTTCATAATAATTTACTGCTGCTTTGAAGTAATTTAAACTGTATTGCTTTGCCTTGGAACTTTTACTTCGCTAATGTTAAAACAGCGGCAATACAAATGTATGGCCTCCAATGACAAAATGTGATATAAAAATGGCTACATCCGGCCGCCGCCAAAGGCACTAATTTAACTAAATATTTCGTAAATATGGTAATACAGTATTTCTGACCAGTAGAAAGAAAAGTCATATCTGAAATTCTGATGTTAAAATCTATAAAACAAATTACTATGAGCTTTACAAAGTATCGTAATTATTCATTCATAATATTAAGCTTGTAATTTAGGTCTATTCTAGAAAACTCCCCATGGCGCCTGAAGCCCCGGAAAACCAATATGGCTACAAGAAAATGCACTCAACACTCCATTTTAGTACGAGTATGTGAACACGTTAATTATGAATTATATAGTACCTGCTTTAACTCTAAAATTCTGCCAACAAATGCTTCTGAACTTCTAAATAAGTTGTTCCTTTTAGAATACCGCAAATATTTAAGTTTTCGTCTCTTCAAAAAGACTGCCAAATTTACAACTTCATACTAATTAACTTGCATAAATAGTAATTATACATTTTCTAGTCATGATATATGCGAGTTAAACCGAAATTATAATGCAAAAATGCTGGAAACTCTCGCAAAATGTGTAATTATCATTTCCCTGCTATTACAAACAGCCCATTTCGTGAAGTACGCAGACTTGCTGGTCACCAACTAATGCAAAGCGGTTGATGAAAGTTTTTATAGTGCATTTAGCTCAGCTCAATTCATACAAAGCCACAAATACTTGCACATCATGTAATGAACACAACTCACGAGAATGCACGCTGCCCTATCTGCACGAGCTATGCATGCGAA